CAAGCCAAAGTGCCAGAACTTTGAACAGTAAATACAGGCAAAGGGACTTGGTCTGGAGTCGTTCTCTTTCTCTTCTGCTTCTGTGAACCATCTACAGCTGTCCTTTTTTGGCCCTAGAATAGGACAGTGCAAGGATGCATTGAAGTTTTCCTTTAAAAAAGAGAAGGCGGCAAAAAAGCAAACATGTTTTTCTCTCGCCCTGCTGCAGAAATGCTGAGCTATACCTTTGGGAAGCTTGGGCAGTCGAGTTTGCTAACCCTGTAGTTTAGACTGCCACGCTACGGCTGACCACCGGATGTGCTCCGAAACGCTCGCGGGAAAACCCCGGGCGCTGGGAGAGAGAAGGCAGGGCCGCCTCTGGCTGGTTTGCTTGAGTCTTTGGCAATTGGAGGTGAGAGAAGAAGCGGAGTTAGTGCTTTTCGTTGTGAAAGACTTGAACCAGAGTAGAAATGCGAGTGGGCATTGTATTCTGCAGTATACTTCCGTGTGACTGGAGAAGGGCAGTTGGGGGTGAATAGTGAGGCTAATTACGACAGCCAGAAGCGCAGAGCAGAGAGGTTACAATAACCCTCGTTTGTACGTGGCAGCAAAGTGCCTCGCGTGGTTTTAACCAGGAATTGGATACGATTGAAAAAGTAATTGCCATAGTTACAGATAAATGCCGTTGACTTCAGGGCTCCCGCTCTTGGTTGTTCCGCTGCGGCTGCACGCTGAACCTCTGAATGGTGCTGTGTTGGGGTGGGAAGGCGCACCCAGATGTGCTCTTGGAGGAGCCCAAAGCCAAAGCAGTCGGGGCTCTTCAGGGTGCGTGTTTGTGCCAGGGCACCTCGCGGCTCTCAGAAATCCCGGTGTTGCCTCGACTGGGGCGTTCTGCGTGTCGGGGCAATGTGTGACCTCCAAGGACGGAGCACAGGAGGCACTCGGGCTGTGGAAAGCGTCACTGTGGGCTGCTGTCTCTCAGGCTGGGTTTACAACGTCGCTGCACCCTGCAGCAGAATTACACCCAGCTTCTCTAGAGACGCGCTCCTACTGCGGGGACGTGTCCTCTGCGCTCGTTGCGCAGAACCAGCGAGGAGCAGGCGGTCATCCGGCGGACAGCCTGCCGCATCGGGTATTGGGGCGTACGTTCTTGGATGCCGGTTCAGAAATACGCCGGCAAATCATCTGCCTTCGCCGTGCGTTTCTGGAGAAAACGGCCCCTGCGTGGTCGGTGTGGGGGGACAGGCGCTGGCAGAGCACGATCCTTGGGGCTGGGTTGGGTGGGTTGGGTGGA